CCATCCAGAGCAAGCCATTTTGGGGTTACCCTATTTCTGGCCCACAGCCATTTGTAGGGGGTTTAGCTAGATGGGCGCAGGGGCGGCGCCCCCCGGAAGAAGCTGACCTACGACAAGCCCGGGCTCACGGAGGCGCGCGCCTAAAAAAAGAAGTGGCGGGGGTGGAGATCTGGGTGTGGCTCAAAATTAAACGATCGGAGGGGCAAACCGCAGGTTTTGGGAACCATGTTTCCACTGACCAGAGCAGCCCATTTTGGAATTCAGGTGGTTTGAGCCATGGCCATCGAATGCAGGACGAGATTGATGAGATTAGGGAGGCCTTCAACCTCTTCGACACGGATGGCTCGGGAACCATCGATCCGTGCGCCCATCTGCATGCGTTTTTGTGCTTCTGCTTGCCTGGCATCGTTTGCTCGGGCATTTTATTTTGTCGTCAGGGGTGAACTCAAAGCAGCGATGCGATCTCTCGGCTTTGAGACCAAGAATCCCACGATCTTCCAGATGATTGCAGATTTGGATCAAGATGGTGCTCTTGCCTGTTTGCATCGTGCCGTTGAATGCGAAAATGTTCAGAGCCCCCATGTCGCAAGCACGAAAGTGCTGCACATTGCAGGCACAAGACACATTTCACTACAGAGACGCTGAGTGAGTTTGTGCACACTCACTTTGATAGCTCCATTCCATTGGCGTTCACCAAGCCAGGAACCACCATAGGCTTCGATGACTTTCTAGATGCTATCACTGCAAAGCTGGTGCCTCGACTTAAAGCTGCATGCGGTTTTGTCTTTCAGGGGACCCCCCAAAAATGGTGGTTTTCTTCCGCGGGCTGCGCCTACTGAAACGTCACCAGGCAGGTGGCTCGAGAAACCAACATCGGCCCATGTGCAGGGCGACAAAGAGACACGCGACGGCATCCACAAGATCTTCAACTTGTTTGACGACGACAAAACAGGGACCTGCTATCATGCCTGTCACGTTCTTTGCGCAAAGTGCATGCGCGTCTGGAATCAACAGTGCGGAGGAGCATCTCTCTGAAGAACCTGAAGAGGGTATCCAAGGAGTTGGGGGAAACCATGACTGAGGAGGACTGATTTGCGCAAAAGTTGCGGGCAATTCACTCGCAGTTGGCAACTGGCAGGAGCTTCGAGAAATGATAGAGAGAGCTGACACTGATGGAGATGGACAGATCACTCCTGAGGACGGTGGAAGGTTTGTGCTTGTCTATGAGTTGTTGCTACGTTGAGCACTGAGAAGTCCTGCAAGGACTTTTACAACATCATGACTAAGAAGACTTTTCCATAGCAGGATGATTCCTGCGGCCTCTCATGTCACTGCGGGGTTGTCCGGTACATGCCCATGGCACTTTGAGCGTGGGGTCACAGCCACGGATGCCACCGAACGGTTGGTGATTATGCTGCAACTGCGTTGAGACCGCAGCTGTAGTCAGAGCCTTGCGGATTTGTGTATGCTTGCCACCAGCATTCTCACACATCGTACACACAAGCTTCAGGGCTCTGTCAGTTTGCCCCTGTTTGTAGCAAGAATGAGCAAATAGGAATTAGTGCATTGCAAGGTGGACACCAGCATGAACCGCGAGTCGAAAACAAGTGATCAGACAGCTTCCTTGCATGCCTGATATGTCAAGCCAGCATGTTTTTGTCTTTTTCTCATTGGGGTTGTGCTTCCCAACGACCACTTTGCGTCTTCCTGCAAACAGCGGAGCAGGCAGATCATTCATTTCTAATAAGTATGTTATATGCTTTCATGTGTCCAGCACTTCCGGCTCTACTGGTCTTAATTGAAGACATCCAGCTTAGCTGGCGGGTAAATTCATGCGCCAGCCTTAGCACCTGCAACCATAGGTGTCCTGTTTGGTGGCTTTGGTAGAACAATCGATGGCCCTGGTTTACCTGGTGGTTTAATCATCTACCAGGGAAACCCATCTATTTCCCCTAAAAGGACGCCGATGCTCAGCACTGTTGCACAAAAAGTGTGCACGCCGGGCCACTCAAGGCCGATTGTCGGACTTTCAGACTGTGCCGCGAAGGATGGCGCAGACAGCTAGAGCCTCAGCCTTGAGAGGTGCCTTGCTCACTTTGGGCGGTTTGGGTCGAAAACTCGGGTATCTTTGTGGCAATCGATTGCTTTTTTTGGCCCTTCTCACGAACATCCCAGTGCCATCTATGAATCTAGAGAGTTCGCCCTTTGGATTCGCGCCAGGAAAGAACCTGAGTCCCTATGGACCGGGTGGTATTTATCATGAGAAGCAGGTTGGCTCCCTTTGTGCTGCAGCCTCAGCATGTTAATTTGTTTCGGTCAGATGCCCCAGAACAAGCTCAGAGGGTGGATTCATGCAGCAGCGTGCAGGCAATCCATTGCGTGAACAACATGATGCAGGACCATCCTAGCTTGGCTGTTCTGGCACATGACCGTCAAACTGTGAGGCTCCGCTCTACGATGATTCCGCGTTCAGAAGAGTTGCCATGGCAACTTGGCTGTGGGTCAAAACCAATGGGATCCCATTTTGGGGTAGGTGAATTCACCACCTATTTTAGAACCTATTTTAGTGGTTGGATGGGGATGTTCACTGGGGGTACGTTGTTTTGACCCATGGCCACTTGACTTCATGAGTCCATCCCTTTTGGTCCCTTTGTGCTGCCCAGGATCTGGACCGTGAAGAGAGGAGACTGATGGGTGGTGCGGATTTGGACTATGGCGGGCAGCCTGGATTGTCAGACCACTGGTTTTTGACGAAGAACGCTGTTTTCAGGCAATGCGCGATATGACGGCTTCTACAATGTACAAGTGATGCAGGCATTCTGAAAACTGCGACCCATGCAGATGCTGACGGAATTTGCTTGGGCAGGCAGTGCTTGCCAAAGCTGGCTATGATATGCTTCCGATTTCATCGGAGGCTGGTGTGGACTCAACTCATAAACGTGTTGGGCAGTGCAAGGAAGGCTTGACTCAATGCTGGATGGCTTTCTTTGTGCCAGGCTGCGAGGGAGGAAAAAACCGATACAGCCAAAGAGGTGGCCTTTATTCTCAACAAGCCACAACCCTGTGCAAGTTTTGAGCTGCTGATGCGTGCCTTGATCACTCAGGACTCAGCATTGGTTCAGTATTCGAAGGATTGGCCAAGAATGGTGGGAATCTCAGACATAGGTGTGGCTCAAAATTAAACAGGAGCGGTTACGCAGGTTTCGGTCCATGTTTCCACTTACCAGGGTTCCATTTTGGCAAAATCTTGAGGGACGCAGAGTGCTTCAGGGGGTGACTTAGCACTTTGATAGAACGTGGTTGGAGCCTGAGGTTTGACCTTAACAGTTGCATGGACAAGCCGCAGCACTACACTGACGCGGATCTTCGCTGGCACATCTCTGAGGCAGCATGGGCCTTACAAAGCAAGCGCAGTATTGCCAAGGGGTCACAACAAGCCATGAGAGAACGATCAATTCAGGAGCGCCTTAGCGACCTTACACGTGGCCTCCCAGTTGCTTGCTGGTCTCTGAGGTCAGAGACGGCTACAGCGTGTTCGTCGTAAGGGGCGGCTTTCCAAGGCCTTGGTACTGGAAGTTTTCGTGAGGCCCCGATAGGCGAGGGAGTGTGCAGGTGCAGTCTGGAAGAGGATCACAAGAAGCTGTTGGAAGCCATTCAAGGCCAAGCCGTTCACAACGTTCACTGCACATGTGGCTGTGGGTCAAAAATAGGGTAAACCCCAAAATGGAACCACGGTAAATGGAAAGAAACATGGACTAAAACCAGCGGTTTGCTGGTGGTTCAATTTTGACCCATACCCATGTAGCGAGCGGCAATCAGTGCAAAGGCTGTGGCAGACCGCGGCAGACCTACAGTCTGTTTGCTGGGGGTGGCCAGACGTTGAGTTCTGGCACCACAGCCGGTGCCAGGCACTCAAGTCTCGCCTGCCATCATAATGTGTATAAACTTTGGGTGCAACTTGAAACATGAGGCCCAACCGAAAGCCGCACCTGCAAATGCAAATGACGCCGCGGCAATCAGGGCAGCTTGCTTCTTAGCCTCCGGGGAGTTTTTCCTTGGACAAAGTTTCTGCTTGAGGCTCGACTGGCACGCTTCGGCGGTGGAGGACAACTTTTTGTGTGTGCGGCTGCAAGCATTTGGCTGTGGGTCAAAACCAATGGGATGTTCACCGGGAATACGGGATCTAGACCCATGGCCATTTCAGCGAATTCTTGCACTGAAACTGACAGCATCTGGTGGCAAGGAGGCCCGGCCCCGGCCCCGCCTGAACCTGCGCCTGAAGCTGCGGCCGCGGCCGCGCCGGCGCCGGCGCCGGCGCCGGCCGCGACCCCGGCACCCGCACCGGCGCCAGCACCGGCACCGGCACCGGCACCAGCGGCGGTGCCTACCACCGGAGGCTGGAGTCTTTGTAGAAAGTCTCTTGTGAAAGTCTTCCGCAGGGAGCGCTGCTTTGGAGCAACTTGTCGGCATGGGCTTCGAACGTGAAGCTTCCAAACATGCTCTGGAGGCTGGCATCGTGCCTTTTGCTTGGTGCTTCGTGTTGTTTCCAGCTGCTTCAGGCCGCTAGAGGGGATTTGGAGCGAGCTGCCCGAGACTTTCTGCACTTTGTATCCAATAACCAAGCGCACGCTGTGCCAAGGCCGAAATTCTACTTTCCGGCTGATCCTGGAGTATTTGCTCTTGGAAATAATCTCGAGTTCAGTGTGCACTGCCTTGATGGTGTTCAACGCTGTAAATCCCTTGGATCGTACGCTGGGCAAGACGGCCAGCAAGGACTCAGACATTGTTTCTGCAACTTGGAACATGTCAGGATTGAATTCGGTTCTGCACGACACGTGCAGTGAGAAAGTGGCAAAGTGGTTGACCGGTGGAAAAGTGCTTTCTCTCCGTGTGCCGTGTGAGCAATAGTTCTGGAATGATTCTGCAGTGGTAGATGAAAGTAAGCAGAATGGAGTAGCCAAGTAAACAGCGCTAGATGCTTTGCCCATGCCTCTGTCTCGGCTCAGCTGGGGCCTCTGGCAGCCTCTCGGGAGGCGTCGGTCACATGTTGTGTCCAGTTTTTCTTGCCCCCCGTGACTTGAACATCTTGCATGCGGTAAACAAGCACCAGCAACTCAGCTTTTGGCTGTCTAACGCACTTGAGCCAGGGATGCTGATGGAGGAACTAGTCAAGCAATCATCAGTCTGTTTTAGATGAAACGGTTTGCATGTCACGGATCATTGTGCATCAGGTTTTTTTGGGCACTGCTCAGCCGCTGCACTGCCCCCTGTGCCAGAAAACATTTCGCAGCACGTATGGCAGGCGATGCCATGAGCGAGAGGAGACTTGGTCCCTACAAGATTGTCATCTTGGGAGAGGCCTCGCGTCGTGAGCAAAATCGAGTGAGCCCGGGAGTAAAGAGGACCCCCCTTGCCATGTCAGTGAAACACGTTTGAGACAGAGCTCCATTTTTCTCATCAAGGAGTACGGCCTTGAATGTGCTGAGTCCAGAACTGCCAGGGCCGCGTGGGCAAGACCTCATTGTTGCGACGCTATGTCTCGCAATCCTTCAACGATGAGGAGGACTGGGCAGCGCATGGCAGATGCGCGCAACAGATCTGGCCATGGGTTGCATCACCTATGGCGATCCCATTTCTTTTTTTGGATGAGCATCCATGTGCCACCGATTTTTTGATGTTCAACAAGGTTACCATTGGGTTTGACCTTCACAGCCATCCAGCCGGACTGGAGGCATCAACCCAGAGCGCTGCCTACCTAGACAAGACGGTGCAGCTTCGTGGGACTCAGGCCAGATGGAGTGCTGCAATTTCACCTGCCTGCGGTCAAAACCGTTTTGGTGGGGATCCCATTTTGGTGGGGTTTTCGGTGAATTCACCACATCCATTTTAGGCTTCCTATTCTAGTGGTTGGATTGGGTCTCGTTCACTGGGGGTACGATTTGGATTTTGACCATGGGCCAGATGGAGTGGTGCATTCGCAGACACAAGCCTGAGCTCTTGCGGGCGAGAAATCGCAGAGCGACACCTGGCACTTGTCAGGTGCAACTGTCACTGTGGGACACGGCTGGCCAGGAGAGAAGTAGTGGACAAATGGCCATGGGTCAAAACCTCGGTTATTATTCAGTGAACATCCCAATCCCCACTAGAATAGGTTCTAAGATGGGAGGTGCGCCTATCCCAAAATGGGATCCCATTGGTTTTGAGGCATGGCCAAATTTTTCTGCCGAGAGACGGCGCTTTGAACTTCGAACCCGCAGGAGCGATACCATGCCCTGGCGCCGATCTACTATCGAAATGCTGACGGTGCAAAGGGTTGGGAGAGCGTGCAACGTTCGTCTTGCTGCGATAAAATGTGGGAATGAACCCAGAAAGCTGCAAGGGATGGTTTTTCGAAGGGTCATTCCCTCATTCCCTGCCTATCGCCCCAGCCAGTCATTCTTGCGAGCTGCGCGTTCTCCTGCCAGGTGCTCTGCTGGTGTACGACATAACAGATGCTGAGAGCTTTAGGCAGGCCAGTGGCCAATCCGGTGTGTCTTTCTTAAGGTTGGACCGCCAGCCCCACAAAAAACAAGGCGCGACCCGGTTTCCCTTTGGCCACGACACGCCCATTTGCTTGAATTGATTGAATGTGTTGTGTACTTGCTCCGCCCCTGTTATTGCAATGTGGCATGAGCCTGTCTTGGCATATTTTCGGGCCCAAGTGAGCATCTGCAACTTTCTTTTTCCTTGCACTGACTCGAACTCAGCCAACCTCTCTTTGAGGCTACCATGAAAAAACCGAGCTGACGCGCCCACTCGATGTATTGATCGAGATTCGAGGCGGGTGGCCAAGTGGGTGGAGGAGCTCCAAGTGGCCGGCACGCAGTGCGCGCTGGCCATCGTGGGCAACAAGTCGGACTTGCAGTCACAGGCGAAAAGAGAAACACCATGGCTCATGTGGCGTAGTGTTTAGCGGTTGGATTTCCAAATGAAACCCACTGAAACTTGAACACTTGTCGGGATCAAACAACTTGCACTCCGAGATGTCAGGCCCGTGTCCCCAAAGCCGATGCAGAGGCCTATGCCAGGACCGGACGCTCCCTTTGGTGCGAGCCCCTTGAGCCGACTGGCGAGCGCAAGTGAGCCACAATCAAAACCCGGGTAGATGAAGGTTAGTAGGGGGCAGTCCCAGCCGGAAGCAGTCGCAGCCGCCTTTGTTCATTCTTTACATGGTTCTGGGTTCACCATTTTTGTACCGATCGGTTTTGATTGTGACTCAAGTGCAAGGAGCATCAATGCCAGACACAGCATGGCCCCAGCCTTGAGACCTAGTTTGACTTTCGGTATCGACTCCAAGAGACAGGCGTCTGCAAAGCTCGGCCATGGAGTTGAGGCCCGTTGGAGAAATGATCAAGGCGTGAGAAACTGCTCCTGTGTTTGAATTGGCCAGGAAGCGTTTGGTGCGCTGGCCGAAGATGCCGTTTGCTCAGTGCATGGATGTGCTGCTTGCCAGCTCCAAAAAAAAGAGAGACAGGTTCTGGCTTCGAAGATGCGAGGCAAGGTGCAAAGCTTGCTCCTGGAATTTGGGTATGGCTCAAATTTAAGGGCGGGGGTTACGCAGATGTGGTCTTTGTTTCCATCCAAGAGGCCCAAAAATGGGTTCCACTTCTTTGAGCCAAAGCCATTTCGGCGATTCGAGCTCAGGCGATTCGACTCGAAGAACACGAGGAACACTTCGTGTGGCTGAGGATGCGGCTCCTTCGCGGAAGGGCTGTTGTGCAGGCGTCAAATGGGTACGGGTCAAAATTAAACCACCAGGGGACCGCAGGTTTTAGTCCATTGGTTCCATTTACCAGGGCTCCATTTAGGGGTTACCCTATTTTTGACCCACAACCACATAGAAAGCGATTGCTGTCGCGGAGCTTGCAAGCTGGGAGCCCAGTTTTGGGCACCGCTAGTTTTTTGTGACCCAATCCCCAGCTTGATGTAAAGGGAAGCCAAAAGGATATCTATTCTTGGGACCCCAGATTTTAAGACATACCTTGCCACGCTGTCCGGCCTGCGACTAGAGCCGTGGAAAACAACTAATATGGAAGGTGAACCCACTGGAGTTGCGACTTGTTGCCAGGCTGATCCCCTCTCGAGTGTTGGCGGCAGGCGCGCCTTGGGTTCCGGTGTGAAGGGCTTGCTACTGTGAAGACAAAAAAAAAAACCGGCTGGACACGCGTGCACTCAAGTCACCCGGAAGACTTCACTTAATACATGTTTAGGCCTGCTGCTAGCCGTGCTCTCCTGCTTCTTGTTTGCATATGCTCTCGCGCTTCTCGATTTGTATGACTCTCGTGCTTCTTGCTCTGCATGCGCTCTTGTGCTGTGTGCTAGTTGGCTGCAAGGTAAGCCGGCGATTGCGATTTTACCGGAAACCAACCTGTGCAATGCTTTCAGGAAAGAGGGAAAAGCCAAAGCCAAGACAGGAAAAATGAGGGGTTCGAGGGGCCAAAGCTATCTCTCGGGGATTTGCTCGGAGAACCCTCGCAGGTGAGCATGCAGCTGAGGCAAATCCAAAGTTTCACCCGAAGCGCAAGTGGCGCAGACGCAGAAAGCCCGCGAAGTATGCAAATGGCTCTGCGAGCGATGGGGGAATCTCCGAATTGTGCTGTGCGAGAGGAAATCTCAGGTAGGAATTACCCACCCAAATTCCAATTTTACCAGGGCGCAGCAGATGTTGACTGTTCATCAGCCAGGGCTTTGCACGGCTTTCGGTTGACGCGGCGCTGGCTGCAGCATTGGCTTCACATGGCAGGAGTTACCGAATCCTCGGATGGCTGCCCCGCCCGCGCCCGCGCGGCCTCGGCGTCCAGGAACGCCTCACGAAAGAGAGAGAGAGAGAGAGAGAGAGAGAGAGAGAGAGGGAGGGACAGGTTCCACGGTGGCGGAGGGGTGGCGGAAGACCGGAGAGGAAAGAACATGTGGCTGTGGGTCAAAACCAATGGTACCGTTTTGGGATAGGTGCACCACCCATCTTAGAACCTATTTTAGTGGGGATTGGGATATTCACTGGGGGTATGGTATGGGGTTTTGACCCATGGCCATGTAGAGTTTCAGAGCTTGGCCCTGGCGCCTTAGCG